ATATACACACACACACACACACACATACACACACAATGCAATACTTAAAAGTTCATAGAAATATTGCTGTTTGCACTTTCAATTTCAATCAACAGTTCAACAAATATTGATTGAGCCCCTACGTGCCAAGCAGTGCTCTGGACCTGAACAAAAAAGACATAGTTGCTTCCCCACCAAGTGACTTGCACTTTAATGGGGGAAGGAGGATCAAACAATAACAATAAACAGTGAATATTTAATATGTCAAATGAAGAAAAGTGCTAAACAGAAAAGTAAAGGACAAAGGGAAGTGGGAGGGCAGGCGAGGGCTGCCTTTCTATAAGTAGTGTCCAGTGACATCTGAGCAGAGCCCCGAGAAAGTGAGAGTGAAGCATGCCCTTATCTGTGGGAGGAGGATTATAGTCAGAAAACAGCATTCAAACTCTGACGAGGACCTCCAATACCAGTGGCTTTTTCATCATCACTAGAATCCTTTTTTTGTTTGTTTGTTTAGAGATGGGGTCTTGCTCTATCGTCCAGCCTGGAGCACAGTGGTGCAATCATAGCTCTTTTTTAGCCTTGAAGTCCTGGGCTCAAGTGACCCTCCTGCCTCAGCCTTGGACTACAGGTGCGTGCCACCATGCCCAGCTAATTTTTAAATTTTTTGTAGAGATGGGGGCTCGCCATGTTGCCCATGTTGGTCTCCAACTCCTGGCCCAAAGTGCCCCTCCCACCCAGGCCTCCCAAAGTGCTGAGATAACAGGTGTGACCCACCATGACTGGCTTAAAGATGCTTTCTGAGCTGTCTGACAGGTGTCCAGAAAGCTCAGTCTTCACATGCAACCAAACTGATCCCACATCACTTTTTAATGTATATGTGATGCTGTCACTGAAAGTTATTCTAAGCTGAAGCAATCACATAACATAGGGCAGTTGTTTTTATTTATTCTGTATACATATATTCAAGACTTCTCCACCTAACCATTTACCATATTGTTTAAGTGACATTTAAAAGGCTAACATATAACATCCAACATTTATATAGCACCAGAAATAATCACTAAATCTGGTTAAATATCTAGTCTCTTTTTTAAAAAACAATTATGTCAAGTGACTTTTCAAACATCCCAAACTAACACTCTCTCAAATAATAAGCTAATGCATCACCCCCAAGGAATGAATTTTAGGAACACACTATCAAGCTACTGCATCATTTCCAAGGAATACTCTTGTGGAGGAAGAAAAGCAAGCTTTGTCTTGTATTTGGGATAAAGGATCTTACCTTATTGTGTTATATTTAAAATTTCAGCCCAACCAAAAACAACAACATTATGTTGAAACAAGCCAAGAAATGGGAGAAAATTGCAATGCTTAATTAGCAAATCTAGAATATAAGGAACATCTACAAAAATTGATGAAGATATTCAAAACAACAGAAAAATAAGCAGGCATATGAACTACCATTTCAGAGAAGAGAAAAACAGACTGGCTAATAAACATATAAAAGACACTCAACATCACTAGTAATCTCAGCATATAAATTAAAACATGTTATTTTATACCTAAGAAATAAGCAAATGATTGAAAATCTACCAATAACAAAAGTTAGCAATAATAGCAACTCATACATTTCTTCTGGGAACACAGGGAGAAATTTGGCAATACCTTGGTAAAATAAAGGCACATGTATTTTAAAATACCATGTTTGCTGTAGGTACCTAGGAGATCCTTTATCAAGTAATCCAACAGCTTTTATGGGTGCGGCCTCTGTATAAAATTCCTCAACGATCTCTCACCGAGAATGCTGTTTGTTTCCTAGTCGAATCCTGCTGGTCCCTCAGGGCCCCATTCCTCTAGCTCCACTCCTCCAAAAAGGCGACTTTGGCCTGGTTAACACTGAATTCTCTCTTATACCAGTGGTTCCCAATCTTGTCTGTTGACTCAAGGCTCAGACACAGACATCAGTATTTTTTAAAAATCTTCAGGTGATTCCAGTGAGCTGACTAGCTGGGAACCACTACCTTACACTATCACTCGTCAGTTATGGGAGTCACTCATAACATGGCAACTTCAAATATTGCATAGATGTGATTTTCATGACTGCTACAAAAAGGTAAGCTGCTTAAGGGTTGGTTTAAAAGCCTAGCATGTTGGACTGTATTGAAACGCAGAATATTAATGACATTAGTTCTTAGTGGTTCCCAACTGGGGGTGATCTGACAATGTCTGGAGACATTGTTGGTTGTCACAACTGGGGGAGGGGATACAGCTGACATCTAGTGGGTAGAGGCCAGGGATGCTCTGTTGCCTGGGCTAGAGTGCCGTGGCGTCAGCCTAGCTCACAGCAACCTCAAATTCCTGGGCTCAAGCAATCCTTCTGCCTCAGCCTCCCGAGTAGCTGGGACTACAGGCATGCGCCACCATGCCCGGCTAATTTTTTCTATATATATATATTTTTAGTTGTCCAGATAATTTCTTTCTATTTTTTAGTACAGATGGGGTCTCGCTCTTGCTCAGGCTGGTCTCTAACTCCTGGCCTTGAGCGATCCACCCGTCTTGGCCTCCCAGAGTGCTAAGATTACAGGCGTGAGCCACCGCGCCCAGCCCTGGCTAATTCTTTATTTTTTGTAGAAACGGGGTCTCGCTATATTGACCCAACTGGCCTTAAACCCCTGGCCTCGAGCAATCCTCCCACCCTCCCCACCTTGGCCTCCCAAAGTGCTGGGATTTACAGTCATGCACCACTGTGCCTGGCCAATTCCCTAGAAAATAAAGTTGTTGTTGAACTAAGTTACTAAGCATTCCCCCTAGAAGATGTATACTGTGGAAAAAAATTCCTGAATGATTCTCAGCCTCCCTAGGTCCTCACTCCCCATACCCACCTCTAAACTGGGAGTCACAGTTACAGCTGTGTTGAATGAAACAACAAATCAACTTTAATAGGACATCAGACTCAAATAATTAGGAATCAACTAATTTTTAATTACAGTCATTCATTGTTTAACAACATTTCAGTCAACAATGGACTGGATATACAACAGTAGTCTTGTAAGATTACAATGGAGTTGAAAAATTCCTAACGCCTAGTGCTATCGTAGCCCTTGTAACGTCATTGCACGATTTCTTTATTTTTTAAAAAATTTGGTGCAGCTTAAGTGTACATACAGTATTCATAAAGCCCACAGTAATGTACAGCAATTTCCTAGGCCTTCACATTCACTCACCCAGAGCAGCTTCCAGTCCTGCCAGCTCCATTCAAGGTAAGTGCCCTATACAGGTACCATTTTTTATCTTTTATACCACATTTTTACTGTACCTTTCCTATTTTGAGATATGTTTAGACACACAACTACCCACCATTGTGTTACAACTGCCCACAGTATTCGGTACAGTCACATGCTGTCAAGTGACTAGCCTAGGAGGAACAGGCTAGATCATACGGTCTGGGTGTGCAGTAGGCTGTACCCTCCAGTTTTGTGTAAATGCACTCTATGATGTTTGCACAATGACAAAATCACCTAATGATGCATTTCTTAGAACGTATCCACATTATCAGGTGACGCATGACTGTACCATGACGAGCTTTTCTGTTTTTCCTTTGTTTTGTATTCTCCCCCATTCCTTAATCTTGTTCAGTATGTTAGTTCTGATTTCACTCCAATTACAAGGAGACACTTCTTGTAAAGCAGTGGTTGTTAACTGAAGCTGCAATTTGTAATCATCTGGGAAGATGCAAAAATTACTGGTATGTAGCCATGCCCTGGCCCATTCCGATGTAGTTGGTCTGGGTGGGACTCAGGTATTTGGATGCATTTAAAAGCCCCTAGTGTTTATTCCAATGTGCAGCCCGGATTTGGTGCCATTGTCCCGAATGAGGATATAATCCAATGACCATTTATTCTCCAATTTGGCCAGACATAATTTCTTTCACTTCTAGAAAATGAGTGACTAAAGAAGAGAAACTTTCCAGCCAGAAAATAACCTTCAAGTATAGAAAAGAGAGAAAATATGAACCACTGGCATATTCCTTTATATAGTAAAAAAGGGAGAAGAATATGAACCACTGGCACCTTCCTAGGTATATATCGAATTACAATGGAAATCAGCTGGAAAACAGGGTTTAATGTTATAATCTGCTGTGTAAACATCTTAGAAAGTATATTTGTGTTGCTGTAAAACAATGGAAATAATTTTAAATGTTGAAGTAAGAAGATATAAAAACCAATGTTTAGCTTGAAACTAATTTTGTGGCATATTTGCCTACAAATTCATTTTCCCCAAATATTACTCTTGAGGTTAAACAGCCTTCATTAAAATGCCAGGTATGACAAAGACTCATTACAGTTACCTCAATTACAGGGCTCTCAGCAATAGCACTGAGGATGACTGTGCTTGCCAGAGCTTCTGCTTGTACTATTGTCTCGGCATCTGTAGAACACGGCCAGGATGCAACACTGAATGTACATCTGAAAACCCCAGGATTGGACGGTATAAAAAGTACTTTTATCTCTTCTGTGGCATGAGGTCTTATGATGACTTTATTCTTGAAAACTAAACAACGATATGTTGAAAGATCCACCTTTAAAAAAGAACCATATGGTTTGTTACAAATTGAAAATTTACATTGAAATTTACAATCTACGTTGAAAATCAAGAAATAGAATCAATTAGATTAAGATTCCTATTCCCAGTCACTCAAACTACCAGATTTAGACATTTATTACCTCTTCAAAAACATCCAAATCTTATAACTGATTGTCTCTAAAGTACAATTAGTAAAAATGCTTCATAAGTTGAATTTTTCTTGCTGCATAAAGACTTGTGTCTCCCTAGTCTATTTTAAGCCAAGCACATTTATTTATACCCTCACTTTTCTAAAAAAGGACGGTGCCAATGGGAGCCCTTCCACAGTCCTGTAAACCTCTCTGGGATGTGGTCTGTGCAGTTTCACATGCCATGGGGAGCAGGGGTTAGGCTGATCGCTAAGGTCCTCGACGGGCCCCACATCTGCAAGTACAACTCTGCCCAGCTCGCCGTGAATGAGGGTCTTCTTTTCTGTTCACCACTCCCGTAGACAACACTGCTTCATTCAGGCTCTTAGATGTCCCTAAAAAGTCTTCGAATCTCACTTCCACCTTCAACCCTTTCTTTCCTCTAATCACGTGCTGTTCATCTAACCTGGGGATCTCAAGGCTAAAGGAAAAAGCTAGGAAAGGGAAGAGGTGGGGCAGAGGCAATCTGATTTTACCAGGCAATCTGATTAAGGCTACTAAGAGGTAAGAGAGCAGAGTAAATCCATCCACCAACGTGGGTTTGCAAGTAGCAGCTGCAAAACCGGGACATTCCAAAACAGCAGCCCACGTTGCCACCTCCCCCTCATAGATGCTCAAATAGTTGTCATAATGGGGAAAGGAGATTTAGAGTCTAGAATTACAGGAGCTGTACCTGACCATGTGGAAGACCCTTGTTATAAGAGTTAATGTTAAAAGCGCATTTCCAGGTATTTCAAAAGATCATATAAGAAGATGATCAGATAAATTAGAAACACTCTTCTTACTAAATAAAGGCATAGACCCCCAAGAATAACTTTTTTCTTTCTTTCTTTGACAAATGACAGTAAATTATACTAGACCACATTTAACAAAAATGCCAAGTAGAGACCAGGAACTCAGAGCTTTCAGTGATTTAAGTAATTATGCTAAAAACAAATTTACATGATTTTATAAATAAATAATAAAATATAAATAATAACCGATGGAAATGCAAAACATCCAGATTTTGCTACTTACACTATAAGTACTACAACAAAATGGGGACCCAAAAAAAGACACCATTTCAATGACTGTGTCCAAGGTCAAGGGGGTGGGGGACAAATTGGAGAGTGAAAAAATCAAGCACTCAATCATGATGCAACTGTTAAGTCAAACGAGAAAGACACAGAAAGCTTACCTTTCCACCATCAACGCTAACACTGAGGAGCCCAAGGCTGACCTGGAGCCAGCGGTCAGTCGGGTTGAGCACAGGGAGGTGGGTCTGCGATGCGATGCCCACACAGCAGGCGTGAGGAAACTTCAGCTCCTCAGGCACTCTCGCGGTCCCTGGGGAAGGAAACAGCACAGTCACACAGAAGTCAGAGCAAACACCTGATTAAAAGCCCATCCGGCTAAATGACAATTATTATATAAGACTACCTGCTTATACCCAAGAGCGACAGTGTAAAGTGCCCCAGATGTAGGAGTCCTTGACACTGTGTAAACCTCAGCAGAGGCCTGACAACAATTCTTTCCTGCTTCCATCCAGACCAGGAAAAAAAATTAAAATTGATCAAACTCACAATTACAGCTAATCAATTCTTTGATGTTATTACCAGTTAGTAATCTCTTCCTTTTTTTCCTCACAAACCATAACCTGAAAGAAAACCTGAAAAGAAACTACAAAGGCTCTAACTTTCCAGATATGCCTACCTATTCAGATTTTTACTGTTGCACCAATCTTCCCACCCTCCTCATGCAGTCGCCTTGGCGGGCAGAGAAGACAGCACCCAAGGCCACATGTGCCGTGTCAGGAAAGGGACAAGACCTGGCTCTGCTGAGCAGAGTGACTGTCAGCAAGAGAGAAGCAGCCCCCCAGATGAGGGCGTAAGAGCACATCTCTCATTATTGTAACAGTCACCCCCAAGACTTACAAGGTGGGAGATGACTCATTCTGGGACTTGACTCTGGACATTTCCTAGATGAAAGAATAACAAAAATCTAAATGCAGAGCAAAAGAGATAAGACAGACAAAGGCATAGGGAACCTTCCACCTGCTGAAGTTTCAGTGTTTTTCTAAGCCTACTTCAGGGACCCTTGCACAGAAATATATCATGGTGTTCGCAATGGAGGACAAAGAAGAAAACTTAAAAGAAATTAAGGCCAACTAGTATCTCCTTGAAACAAATCAGTTTTATGGTGTCACTAGAGAAAATTCAACTTTTAAATAATAGCGAGCGACAATAACAACAGAGAAAAAGCATCTTACCAAATCCTGATGTTATTCCTGAATCCCATGGTTCAATTCCACAGTTTGCACCAACAGATTGCATAGGAAAAGCTTTCACTGTATTTAGTAGGTTCTGATTTAAAGTATTAGAATACGGGTTACAAAGAGAAGAGGGACCCGTCAATCCAGAGCCGATAGTTGGTCCTACACAAATTCCAACAGCCACGGAGTTTTGCACATGCTCTCCTGTGCCAGCCGGATAAAGATAGCCTCCTGAGAACCCACAGACGTTGGCACCGCCAGCATGGCACTGTGGCAAGGCAACACTTCCAGCTGAGGGGACTGCGCCCACATACTGCTGGGCAAAGGGAGCTGTGCTAAGAGAGTGTCGAGTCAAGAGGGTAGGCACTGAGGCAGGAACATGCTGCATGTCAGTGGCAGAACCAAGAACCGTACCACTGGCAGCAGGAGGATACTGGTGTCCAGAGGTGGTCCAATGAGAAACTTGGCCACTGAACTCACTGCTGGCAGTTGACATATCTTTAGAAGTTATTCTTTGCTCTTTGTCCACAGACTCCTGGCGTGACGCAGGGAGATGTGGTGTGGCTGACCCGGCCTCACGGCTCAGAACTGACTTGCTCAGGAGAGCCAGTCTGACTGGGTCCAATTCCTCAGGGCTTGATGTCAAATCCACCTCATTGGTTTCCAATCGATCTCCATTTTTGGAGGAAGGATCTTTACATGATCTAAAGGTAGATTTTATGTCTTCAGGTTTGCTACACAGAGAAGTAGTTTCAGCTACTTTTTTCATATCAGAGTTGCTCTGGATAATCGATGATGATGTTACTTTTCCACTATTCTGAAATGGAATTTTTTCTCTCAACTTTTCCACAGCCTGTTCTTCTGATGGAGCTGGACTGGCCCGAATAATTGTAGTGCTCAATTCACTGGTGATATCACTCTGAGTATGACAAAAAAAATTTTAAAAGTAATTCATGGATAAACTGATCAAATTCACGCCATGTTGGTATAAACTCAAGTAATATAATAAAGAGATCTACACAAATGATCCCTCTAAAAAAAGATTTAGTTTACACAAAGAAGAGTAGTTTTGCAGCTATGAAATGCAGGCTTATATTAGAAAATTTGTACTCACTGTTTTATAAAAAGAATTATAATATGAACAAAATAAATAGGAGGTATACAGCAATTACATCCAAAAAAGTTACAGATAAAGGACCAGAGTCAAGTAATTTTTTGCAAATTTAAGGGATTTATTTTTGTAGACTTTGTAATAAAAATCTAAATAAATTAGTACCAAAGAAGTAAGGGGTGAGCAAGCTTTCAAATGATGCTGACATGAGGTTAGGAGTCAACACGAAGCCAGCTCATGGGTCCTCCCACCCCCTCTATTAGTCTACACTGCTGCACATGCTTGAAGATTTGAAGGTGCTAATTTTTATGTGCACTATGACTTCTCCCATTTCTGAACTTATGTGGTTATATTTTCTTAAGTATGAAGTAACGGTTCTGGGAAATGTTCACATACTCATTTCTTTAAAGATAATGCATAACCTGAAGGGTGATACCTACATCTCTGCAGGGTGGTCCAGTTAGAATTTACACACAAGTAAAGACATACTTAACCCTCACTGATTGATTTGGGAAGTTGGTTTGAAAATTTCTCCTGAACCAAAGCTTTAGAAACAAAGACATTGATAAAGACCAGATTTGCCAGTTATGAGTAACAACAAATAATATGCCTTCAAGGTGACTTAATAGGGGACAGGCATGTGACTGCTCTCACATACTCCTCCTCCTCATAGACAAAGAAACAGGTTTAGGGAGGTTTAGTAATAATCTGTCTGAGGAAGTAGCAGAGAAGTTGTCTGACTCTATAACTCTGCTCTTAACCACTATACTAAGAATATACAGACTCAATACCTAACATCAAAAAGACAGCTTTCAATTCACTGTAGCAAGGATGTGGAAACAACCCAAGTGCCCATCAATCCATGAGTGCATTAATAAAATTTGGTATATGTATACAATGGAATACTACTCAATTATAAGAAATGACGGTGATCTAGCATCTCTTATGTTTTCCTGGATAAAGCTTGAGCCCATCCTCCGAAGTGAGGTATCACAACAATGGAAGAATAGGCTCCACATGTACTCGCCATCAAATTGGCACTAACTGATTAACACTCTGGTGCTCACACGGTAGTAATATTCTTCAGGGATTGGGGGTTGGGGGTGGGTAAACTGACAACTAATGGACACGGTGAGCATTGTAGGGGGGAAAAGCCATGCCTCAAATCATGGTTTGGGTGTGGCAAAGTCATAACATGTAACCAAAACGTTTGTACCCCCATAATACCCTGAAATTAAAAAAAAAAGACAGCTTTCAATGAAATGGGCGTAATGTTCTGTGTGACACTACTTCATTTATTTAGTAACTCTGGTGAGCATATTTAGTAGCTTGCTGGAGGGCTCTACAGCACACTCCCAACAGTCACATTTAGCTCATTAAAAAACTGAACACTGCCACATTCACAAAAGACACACACAGACAACAAAATACTAGCTTCTCTCGCATAAATCTCCCCCATCTCCCTCCCTCCTATCCCCATAGCTGCTACCTCAGCCCAAGCCCGCCCTGACTGTGGCCTGGATGACAGCAGTGGCCTCATGCCAAGTGTCCCTGATTCTGATCTTGCCCCGAATCCCTCCTCCACACTGCTCAATGGAGTGTTTATTTTTTTCAGTTCTAGATGTCCATTCTGATGGAGTGAGCTTTTAAAACATTCAAGCAGATCATGTCAGTGACCTGCTTAAAAGCCTTCAAACTCTCAAATTTTCCCTCCAGCACTCTTCATGGTTTGGTCCCTCCATCTTTTCTAGCCTCATCTCTGTTCTCATGGACATGACGCGCTGCAGCCAACCTACCCTTCCTGGAGCACCTCACCACAGTGCATTGCTCACAACCCACACCTTCCCCCATTTGTCCCTTTGCTTCTTCCCAGCCTAACTGCAAGGGGTCCTGCAAAACTCAGCTTCCATACCCTCTCCCTCCCATAAACTTCTGCTGAAGCACCCCTGCAGCCAGGCTGTCAGTCACTCCCGCGTCCCCGTCGCACGTGCGCATCACGTCATCAGTGTGTCTCCAGCAGCCTGAGAGCTTTGTGAGGGCAAGTACTAAAATGCCTCTAGTGTCTACCCAGCACGAGTAGCTGCTTAACATGTACACACGTACACACACACACACACACAGAAGTTCATTTTAAAGGTAAAATAGCAACACAGAAGTTACACAGGCTTGAAATTTAGTGTGAATCCAATGACCCTAACAGTTCAGAGTTGTAAGCCTTACTAAAAACACTCCAGGTGCTGCCCACCTTGCAGTCCTCCAGGCCATGATCTGTGGCTGTGGTAGGATAGGTGCTCTCCTGTTCAGACACGTACGTCAGCCTGCTCACACTAGCATGGGAACACACCACATGAGACAACCCACTCTCACAGGGAGGCTTCTGAGGAGGTGTTGAACCAAAGGACTCTAAAGCACACCTGAAACAGAGAATACCTCATGGTTGGAACTGTTCACTCCTTATCATTTATATTAGCAAAAAACCATTCCTACTTTCCTAGTCTTGTAAATAAGTCAGCCATAGATTCATTGTTTATACTTAATTATCCAAAACTGTAAATTATATTCCTCTTGAATGAAGTAACTGGTAAACTACTGTAACAGAAAGATGTCATGACATCTTCATTAATACCATATACAGACATATAGCAATGTTAGCTATTCATTTCATAAAAATTTATTGACTACCTGACAGAGCAATGAACAAAAGCATTAAAAAAATTCTTGCTCTCAAAGAGCAAACATGAAAAAAAGAATCAAGTGGGTAAGTGCAAAGAAATGGGAACAGTCATATACCACTGACAGGAACGTGCGGTGGCACAGCTTCCAGCCAAGCGACTACGTGGTACATGGCTATCAGAAGCCCTTGGCTCAGATATCCTACATCTGGAAATTTATCCTGAGGGAAAAAATTAATGGTAAATACAAATACTTCACAAAAAGGATATGTCATCACATTGCTATCAGTAATAAAGTAGGAAATCTTACGTGACACATAAAAGGAATTAGATTATGGAAACTATGGCACAGATACACAATAAAACACTATGCGGCCATTACGAGTCATGCTGTTGAATACTATCCTTTGGTTCAGAAAGATGTTCGTGATATATTAAGTAAAAAAAAAAAAAAAAATAGCCAGCAATAAATAGTAGGATCCCACACCTATTTATACACACACACACCCACTAATGTTACTTCCACCTCACTCTGCTCATCAGGACCCGTCACAAGGCTACAGGTCCGGATGCAAGGAGGAGAAATGGACCTGTCCAGGGGAAGTGGCCAAGTCACAGTGCCAAAGAGCACAGGGGAGAGGAAGTAGTGTCGAGCCATCTTTGGAAACAGTTTCCACACCTACTGAACACTCTACCAGTTAGCTTGAATTCGGCTCTTAACTTGACTGGATTTTACACCATCTTTTCTTTTTTTGTACAAAGTTCAGAATACTCAGCTAGGCAATGGACACACAGAGAAAATTCAAATTTGAAT